CAGATTATATTTTTAAAATCTGGAAAGAAGTAGAACAGTGGTTTTTTTTTTAATTATGCCTTGTAGAAGCTTTTCAATGTTTAAACTCAATCTTATAGTACAATTAACAAAAACTTAAATAAATGCATAAAATAAAGAAATTAAGATTCGTTGAGCACACACAAAATGCACACCAAATATGGTACTCTTTAATGTGTTGTTGACCTCTCTATATAGTCACCTTTGGTAAATGAAAATAAAAATACAATCATTTTCCTAAGCTAAATTGTGTTACCAACCTAGCCCATACCTCTCCCCCACATTCCAGCTTGATATATCTCACCACCTCCAAGACAAGCCAACTAGGTGCTAACATCCAAATTTGCCGCTTAATCATATCTATAATTTCTTTCTGCTTACTCACCTCCACTAAAACGAGAGGTCCCCTGGTGTGTTCCCATCTTCTAGCAGGGCCTGCGATATGATAACACATCCTTGAAGAATGGTGTGTGTGAGCGGATGCATGAATGAGTGAAGGGGTGAGCATCCATGGTATCCTATTGTTCAGGACCAACAGGTAATCTAAGAAGAAGAGAATTGAAATCCCAAGAGACCCAGTTACTCTGACAAGTCAGAAATCTTGTCAGAAACAGAGGTAAGATTGAAGAAGCTTCTCAGCCAGGTCCCCTCTATCTTATCATAAATATATTTTGCTAAAATGTAGGCATTCCATAAAATTTAATGCATATATACTTTGCATTTCCCTTTCCATACCCTTGGAAAATATTTTTAAATAACGTCTTTTAAAAACTGGAAGTGGTTGGCTTCTAAAGTAACGTCTATGAAATGAATGGTATTAGATATATTAGTTTAAATTCTGACGTCGGATTAAAGGAAAACCTCAACTAAGAGTAAAACAGAAAATTATTTTTAAAACAATTTAGTGGATTTTACTATAGAAATATCTCAAAGGTATTTCAGCTCATGGAAATCACAGGAAAATAGTTAAGAAGGGGAAGGGGGAGACAAATGAATTTCTGGAATTTCTTCTACAAACTCTCGGTCTGCCTCCCTTCATTTTTTCTCCAGAGTTCACCAGTATTTGCAGTTGCTGCCTGTAGAGGGCAAGTTGACAAAGTCCCTGACTAACATTTTCTAAACTTGACCGAGGCTGCAATTCATCATTTGTTGCTTGTATGCTTGCTTGGGGTGGGGGTGGTTTGTTTGTTTATTGTTTGCTTTTTTGTTTCTTTGGGGAGTTGTTGTGGTTGCTTTGGTTGGTTGGTTGGTTGGTTGGTTGGTTGGTTGGTTGGTTGGTTGGTTGGGTGGTTGGTTGGTTGGTTGGGTGGGTGGTTGGTTGGTTGGTTGGTTGGTTGGTTGGTTGGGTGGGTGGTTGGGTGGTTGGTTGGGTGGTTGGTTGGGTGGTTGGGTGGGTGGGTGGGTGGGTGGGTGGATGGATGGATGGATGGATGGATGGATGGATGGATGGATGGATGGTTGCCTGACTGGTTGATTGCTTGGTTGATTGGTTTTTCTCTTTTCTGTTTGGTCTTTTGAGGGAGTTTTCCAGATGAAGCCCAGGGTAGCCTGAAATGAGTTCATCATCCTGCCTCAGCCTCATCGGTGGCATCATGCCACCAAGTACACTTCGGCCACAGTCTCCTTGTCCTCTTTATGTGAATCACTCTTCCTGACCTAATCAACAATGGCTAGAAGCAAGGACTGAATGCTCAAACAACTGACAGATGGTATCCTTGATGATAGGAGAATTTCAAGTATTAGGAAGACACCAGAGAAGAGGGCTTAGCAAATATCTCCAAAGTTGCTACATCTAGAAAAGGGGACAATTTAACAATGACAGATGAGCCACTGAATCAAGTTATGTTAAAATTCCAGAACCTCCATATGTGTGTGTGGTGTGTGTGTGTGTGTGTGTGTGTGTGTGTGTGTGTGTAAAAATCCATGTAAATCCTCTAGCACTGCAGTACCTACAGTTATTTTTTGCTCTTCATTTTCTAGAATATGTGGGCTAAATAATTTCTACTTGAAGAAAGCAGAGTGTAAGAGGGAAAACACAGCCTGTTGGGATAAGGAAAGGTGAGAAACAGAGGAGCAGCCTGCATACTAAGTTCAGTTCTGCCACCAAGCAGCAAATGCCTGGAGCAAGTCAGCCCTCTAGGCGCTATGTAATGAAGATGGTGAAGACCCAGGACCATGCCTAATGGCAGCACACTTGCTGGCCGAATCGACTGGAAGTACATTCAAAGTGCAGATTCCCTTGACTTATCCAGGAATGTCCTGTTTGTGCATAGCTAGGCACAGTGGCATGTACCTGTAGTCCCAGCTACCCAGGAGACTGACACAAAAGATGCAAGGCTAGCTCATTAACATAAGATGCTGTCTCAAAATATTTGATTAAAGGTGAAATTTTACAATCCTGTATTTTGCATTTTTAAGAAGATTTCTAGCTAACGATGATAACCAACTATATTTGGGACCCGCTACACCCTACACAAGGTAGCATTTAAGATCCCTTTTAATTTTTAAAATCAATGTTTACCTGGTAATTATATAACTTTTATAATGATCTATTTGTAATACAACTTATTTTTGTTCATACTTTGATATCTTTTTTTAGAAATTGCCTCATGACTCTACTTTTTAAAAACAGTATTGCTTAGCATTGAATATTTACAGTCTGTTTAGTTCAAAATAAAGTCTATAAATATTCATGAATACACAAGTGGTCAAACTCTCTGTTTTAAAAATCAGCATTTATTTAGTCCTCACATATACGGGAAGACATTCCCCCCAGACTTTGATTTACTAGAATATTGAAAAAACTAAACAGGATAATACTTCATAAATCAAGGCTGCGAGTCTCCAAATTGTAGCTGGTAATAGAATTTCACTTAGGCTTCTCTGGGGTGAAGAAATGAGATGTGTGTGGTTTCTTAACTTTCCAAGGTGCTTTGTTAAGTGCAGTATCAATACAGTGTGGCTGAATTACTATTTCTTGTATATCCCACTACCAAGCCTTCTAATTCCCATCAGCTTTCCCAGCCCAGAATAGTATTAATAAGATGATGTCATCCAGGAACTCTTTGACCATCCAGTGTTCATTTTGGAAATGGAAGCCCCATGGTACTGGGTAGCTGGACTTCTGGGCAGAAGCCCTGGGATATAGTTTTGCCTTTGACAATTCTGAGAAAGTGACCAAACCACATAATCTCCATGATCTCAAAGCCCTGTTCTGAAACATGAACTCTGTATTAAAATTCTTACAGTGATTAGGTTAAATCAACAGTCATATTAATAATTTCAATGATGAATCCGACTATATTTCTACTTATTGCTTAAATGTACTTTTCCCTTTCTCTTATGAAACTATTTTTATACAACACCAAGGCACACAGAATTATTTTGCTTAAAAAAAAAAAAAGCAAAGCAACAGGAGCAGATTTTGGTGTACCCTGGGACCTTAAAACATCAGGTCATTTGTGTGACAAGGCCTTCTGTCTGTGATGTACTGTAAGGGGCCCCCAAGGGGAGTCCCCACTCTCACCCAGAGTTGCGCTCACCCAAGGAAACAGGGACACTGGCTTGATGCAAAATAGCAAAAGATAGTTTACTGACAAGGGCCCTTGGGTCGAAAATGCATCCCATGCAAGGGAAGGATTTCAACACCCAGCTCGGACAATTTAAAGTTTACATAGGGAACTGCGCAGGGGGAAGGGGGAGAGTGGGAAACTTTGGCGCGGTTACATTTGATTGGATATTTTAAACATCAGCAATAGGTGTAAGTTATCATTTTGGCGGGCATAGCAAGCTTTTCCTGGTGGTCATGATGACTCGAAATTTTTTGTATTTTTGGCCATGAAACCTCAGACCTTCTGATAGGAGAATAAAAACACCAGACAGCCCATTTCTCATTTGGGCATGTTTAGACTTGTCAAGGTTTGTCTTGGTTTTGTTCTTACATTCGTGTGGTCACCTTGCCCTTGGAGGAACTGGTTATTTTTTTGTTTTGGCTGTTTTCAGCAAATTGTTGGTGGTCTGGGGGGGGTTCTGCTGAGGTATTTTTGATTTTTTGTCCTCACAGTACTAGAAAGGAGAGATACAGCTCCCCGCACTGCATATGATGTGATCCTAGGCAATCCCCACCCCACAACATGGCCCAGATATAATTTCTGATTGTCACATTCTAAGAAAGCATTATTGATCATCCTATGAATGGCCAGGCTTAGGCATCAGCAAAGCCCTGATTGCACACTTGGGAATAGTATGCGGTGTTGGACCCTGCTGTGGGGTCAAAGAGATGACAATGGAAATAATGCCACTTTTTACTCCTCTTTAAACTATGGGTGGTTAGTTGGAACATTGTACTAATAAAACGTGTAGTTCCCAGGAAATGACTAAAAGCGTATGCGTATGCTGTGCCTTACAAATTCAAGTACTTGATATTTGTACCTTATTACTTTTTAAAGACTTGTGTTGATTATTTTCAGTTGTGTGTGTTATGGGGGGATCTTTGCACAAGAATGCAGGTGCCTGCAGAGGCCAGAGGTATCAGATCCCTGTAGCTAGCATTACAGGTGACTATGAGCTCTCAGATGTGGGGCGTGCCAGGAACTGAAGTCGGGTCCTCTACAAGAGCAGAATATGCTCTTAAGTACTGAGTCGTATCTCCCCTCCTCCCTTTATTCCTTTTCAAGAGAATATAATTGATAGTTACAGACAAGCATTTTGTAACTTATCAAACCTGTTTATAATAATGACATTTTTTGGGCCTGATTGATTTGATTTTCTGAGATGCATAAAAACGCCAAGTGCAGCATCACCACCAGAACCACCGTGTAGATTTCCGATACAACTCTTCTGCATCACACATCATTGGGTTTAATGGCTGCCAGTGTCACTTTTTACGAGATCAGCCCTCAGTGAGTTTCTGCTTCAAATGAGTCATCGTGTCTAATGATGGCATTTGTTAACTTTCAGAGCCATTGAGCATCGCATACCAAGAGTGACATCTGGTTTACGCTATCAAGGACGGCAACCATCTGAAGTCGGGGTCTCCTCCTGGTTGGAAGTGTGGATAAAATAAAAACTTGGAGAGTGAGCATCAAAGGTAAACTTCATTTCCTTTGTGTAATCCACTTCTGTAAAGATGCACTCTGTGAAATGTTTTTTCTCTTTTTGATCGTGTGGTGTATTTCTGCCTAGCAATTCTAAAGCTATTAATAGGCTGCTGAATTTGATGTCCTTTTTTTTTTAACTCCTTGGTTACCTGTACAGATTTTGATCAAGATGGAGTTCACCTGTGTGGTAATCATTGTCAGTTTAGGATGACAGGTAGGCAAATGCAATTCTCAGGACTCTATAGGCTGAAATACTGGACGTGAGACTAAGCGTGGAATAGAAGAAAATGATGGCACAGCATCCGCTCTGTGTTTTCTTCCCAGGCCGGATACATTTGCATTTATCAGCAAAGGCATGCACACTGATCTAAATCTGGAGATGCTGAAGCCTGTGCTATAGTCTCTGCTCTCTTGCTACCACATGCTCTGTTAGGAGGGAAAGACTGGAGAATGTGTAAGTCAAATGCATTACATGAGTGTAATGTCAGATCAGAGGGGGATTGATATAGCCGGATACATCAGTAAGCTACTCTCCTGTTCGAGTTACGTGTGCAACAAAGACAAGGACTTGAAAATGGCCCTCGACTGGAAAGATGACCTCATGGGTCAAGTTTGAGAACAGCTGGGCCTTCTTACTGACACATGATGTAATTTTCAACCAAGGCAGGAGGATAATACGATTGAGTCTAGACTGAACTACATAAAAATAAAATAATGAAAAAGACAGAAGCACAGAAAGTGAATCAGTAAGAACATGGGTATGTTAATAAATCTGCCCTGAGATTCATGGGAACTCAACTCTTCAGACACCTCCCATGGAAGTTTGGATGCTGTCTGGAATTTGCATCTGAAAGGCATGTAGAAGGAGGATCACCCTCTGGGTTTGCCATGGAAGGCATGAGCTACCCCGTAGTTTTAGGCTGTGTTAGCACCACCTGAGGCAGGAGGCAGAACACCCAGTTATCTGAGGTGACCAACATTGTATCACACAGAGAACCTAATAGAAAACAGAAATGCCCATCTCTGCAGCTTTGGCTGCAATCGCAAGTGGTCCTGAGGTCATGATACAATATAAATACATGCATATATTTTTACATAATTGGTTTCAAAGTGTGGTGAGCATTTTAAGAAAAGTTATAACTAATTTAATAACATGTATTAGTATCATAGCAGTTAATTACTGGGTATTGTTCACATTGAGAATATGCAAGCATGTATGCTTGCTCTTTTTCTCTCCTCTCTGTGTCTCTCTGTCTCTGTCTCTCTGTGACTCTCTTTCCATCTCTGTCTCTCTGTTTCTCTCAGATAATTTGATGGGTTGGTTCTCTCTCATTCCACCATATCCCACTTACTGGCTAGGCTATCTCTCCTCCCCCAGTTTTTTCTTCTTTCCTTTAACATTAGAATGTCAAACAGTAAAATAAAGTTGTATAAAAACACAGGTCTTGTTACAATGTATAAAATCACACTAGATGTTGTGACTAGGACAGAGCAGGTATTAAATAAATAATTTGCAAACAGACATTAGCAAACATCTCAACTACTGCATTGCGATACACAGCGTTCTAATGAAAGCAATGAACATGGAGAACAAGGGAAGCTGTGGGGATAACATGGTAGAAATACCAAGAGGAGTAGACAGAACCAGGCCCTGAGATGACAAGATATCACTGACAGTGGAGGAAGGGGCATTGCTCAGACCAAATTGTATCCTGAGCACAGAATGCAAATGGTGTGCATGTCCCAGGAATCTAAGGCATGGCAAGTCTTCCTTTCACTGGACTTACAGTCTCATCTCTCACTGGTTTCCACTCTCCATTTCCTATGACTCCTGAGTCTTCCAGCGTGAAAATCCTGACTATATCTTGTTTTAGTTCAGATCAAATATTCACAGATTTACCACTTCACTGTTATCCAAACTGCTAATTCAGAAGTTTTTAAAACCTGCCACTCACTTTGCCATCCTATTTTTACCATTTGGCTTCCCTCGCCAGTGGTCTGATGTACTACCTGGAAAGTAATATCTGTGGTCTGTCAAGCTCTGGGTTGCTTTTGTAGGTCTGTTGTTGTCCGGCATAGATCAGTCAGGATGAGATCACAAATGTGCATTTTTAACAAGCTTTGAGTGGATGCTAACACATTTGTCTGGACAGCTGACTTGAAGAATGGTGCTATGAACTGAATGAAGAAGGTGTCAGATCCACTGGAACCAAACCCAGGTCCTCTACAAGAGCAGTAAGTGCTCTTAACCTCTGAACTTTTGCTCCAACACTAAAATAATATCTTAATGTCATAAAATTTTGAATACTAAGTTCCAAGATATATCTTCTATCCCCTACTATATTGTAAACTTTGGAAATACATAAATATTAGATAAATGGATGGATGGATGGATGGATGGATGGTCATCAGAGGATTGGTTGGAAGATGGATGGATGGATATATGGGTGGATGGATGAATGGATGGATAGATGATTGAATGGTTGGTTGGAAGATATATGTGTGTATATAAACATATATATATATGTGTTTGTATGTATGTATGTATGTATGTATGGTGGGTGAGTAGATGAATGGATGAATGGATGGAAGGTAGGTAGACAGATGGATGGTTGGATGGATGGATGGTAGGTTGGTAGACAGATGAGTGGATAGATGGTTAGATGGATGGATAGATAGATAGATAGATAGATTCTCCAACAAGTGACTTACAAAGCAATCTCTGGGATATTGTATGAAGAGAGATTTCCTTTGCATAGAATCTTCTTTATAAATTATACTCAACACAGAGAGCATCTTAATAGAGGACCAACTCTGTCTGCTCAGAGCTCAAGATTCTGGGTATCCTTAGCACTGTGTTCTTTAATAAACACAGCTTTTCACAAAAGATGTTTTGCTATCTGACTGACTACAATGAGAGAAATGCCATTCTTATCAGGACAAATTGTACATTTCACTTTATGAAAGAGACACTAGGTGTGTAAAACCAGGAAACCACATGAATTCAATTCTTTTGTAAACGTGTTTTCCTTGAGTTTAGATTTTACAGCTGCAGCATGCTCTGAATGTTTATTCACACAGAGGACAAAGGCACTTTCTGGTTTTTTTGTATTGAAATGTGTTCATGGTCAACAGTGCAAGGCTTCCCTCTGCATATTTCAGACCTGGATTGGCTAGGTAAATTTATCCCACTTTGCTTGCTAAAATAATTGTCCCTACTGTCTGTTTTCTGCCTACTTTTTCATTTATTGCAGAAAGTGGGTTTTATGCCTACTTCCAAAGCTCAGTATGAATTTTATTCTGTCTGTTTTAAAACCAAAACCCCATATTTTTTTGTTCCTATGTACTCCATTGTATTAAAAGTGAAAATACATACATGAAAATACCATTGTATATTATCATAATTAACCATAGAGTATGATGAATATGAGTCCTTAAAAATTTATCTTTTAAAATTAATTTCATAATTCATTTTAGTAGTAGAGAACTAATAACTCCATTTTTTATTTTATAGCATGCTTCACATTAAAGCCTAAATGAAATGTTAATTAAAGCATAGGAGCACTAGGTTCAACTTTGTTCCATGGATGTTACATTCCGTGGATGTATTTGCTTGACTGAGTCTGAGGCTTGTTACCTCACTTAGAGAAAGAAGGGTTTAGGATAGCTCTATAGGGATGCTTCAGTGGGTACAATTCTTGTCATACAATATGAGGAGCAGAGTTCAAATTCTCACCATGGATGTAAAGCATAGCCCATGTCTGTAACACCAGCACTCTTGTGTTGAGATGAGAGGTGTAATCCTGGGAAGCTCCTCATGACTGTATAACTGTGTGTACACACAGAGTGGGGGAAGACAGAGACAGAGAGATATAAGAGCACACACTCAACACACACACACACACGCACACATCATGATTTTAAGAGACAAGATGGGAGGGCTAGAGGAATATATCTATGATTAAAAGCACTGGGTTCTCTTCCAACACACTTACTGATTGGTTCCTAGTGCCCGTATGACAGCTCATAACTGCCTGTAACTTCAGTCCCAGGGGATCCAATGCCCTCAATGGGCCACTGTGGGCACTGAGCATGTACATGGTATATAGACATGTGTGCCAGAAAAAGACATAAATAAGAGTAGAAAAGGAAAGGGGATAAAGAGGAAGAGAAAAAGATGTTTAGGTCAAAACCCCTGAGATTCATTCCAGTGCCCATCTTCAATCTCTCAGTACAGAGCTTATGCAGTGTGGCCGAAAATCAGTGTCAAAACTATGAAAGCATCCATCTATGAACTGCAAATAGAAATGGAGTTTTGAAGGCAGGGTTTAAGATATAGAAAGATTAACTTTTTCACTCGTCACATGACTGCCCTTGAAAGATATTCCAAACCACGTTATGTACTTAAGTATCTCTACCTGTAAAATGAGTTTTATATTTTATTATTACTGTTATAATTATGACAATGATTATCACCTGTGAGGTTATTTTGAAAACCAGGAATAATGGACCAAAAAAAAAATTCAGAACTCCATTAAAGCTAAACATGTGTAGCTCTAATGCCCTGTTCAGATCTCAAAACTGACTAAACCCAAACTAAGGTATCAGAAGTGGGTCTACATTTTCTTCTCTTCCATGAGGCTAAGGAGAATTTCGCTTGAGACTTTAAAAGATGAATACACTTCAGAAAAATGTATCTATAATTTACTCATGTGAGTCTTTAAAGGCTAAAGGAAGAATTCAATGCACATTTTCATCTGAACGGGATGTCTCTAACCATTCCTATGAGTAGTGAGTATAGACAGAAAACCATGCCCTGTACCTCAAAAGTCATTTCTTCAGTGGGATGTAGAGGCACACATCCAGTGTCTCAACACTTAGAAGGCCAAGACAGAAGGAATCCAAGGCCATCTAGGGATACATAGCAAGTTCCAGACAAGGCTGCCTAAAGAGACCCTGTGTTCCACTCCATCCACTCCCCAAAGGAAAA